TACTGAAACACTGCTGGTCACCTGTCACCACTGAAGCTGTATGGAAATATATATCTTAGGTATTTAATTGATGGTCCTTCAGCAACAACTTGCTTAATCTGATGTTTATAATTTTGAAAGGATTTGAATGTTTCTGCATTGACATTTTGCAGGAATTCCAGCAAATACATGAGTAGGCAAATTAAGAGATTTTAGTGAGAATGATTCAAAATAACTCTACTCAAAATATATGTTAAAGGATATTTCCTCACCCACATCTTCAGTGCAGAAAAATGTCAGCATCTGTGAGAAAAATTATAATGTGCGATAGATGTTTTAAGAGACTGGGAATCTGCTATTAGTCAAATTAGCCACAGAAAATTATTTTCTAATTGTACTCAAGCAAAGGCCTCTAAAAGAAATGTTCAGACTGGAAATCTACAGCAACATGAAATTAACCAGGTAGTAGTATGAACTTGTAATTCACTCACAGAACTGTCCCTTTTACAAACCCAGTACACCCCCATTAAAATAAAGCTCCTGCCAATTAAAAAAAAAAGCCAGTGAAGAAAGCAGATTTTTAAAAAAAGAGTGGCTATAATGCTGAATTCTGACATGCACATTAATGGAATCTTGACAAGTACATCTGATCTCTATAGGTACAGTTTACAGTGATTATTTTTGAATTGCAGTAGCCTATACTTTAATATTTGTAGGAACTTACTAGTTCTGCTAAACTACTCTTTCAAGTCTTTACTTGAACCATTTATTCTAATTAAAGATTTGTTTGACAAGAATTATCACATAATGGCAAAACTTGAATTAAATTTTGATCACACAACTCTTAGCAAAAAAAAGAGCAAAGAAAGAAAAGTGTAGTGTGTGCTTCCTTAAGAACTTTTTGTGCCTCTTTTCTTAAAATGAGGAAGTGGGGCTCTTATTTTTTATGTTTCTAGCCCTCACAACTGTAGAAAGAAGGCTGAAAATGATGGGGGGGAGGGGAAGAGAAGAGAGACCAAAAAGAAGGCTAGAAGAAAACACATTTTTAAATAATCATGTTTGTAATATTGATTATGTCATATGTTGCTATTTTTTTTTAAAAAAACAAGTTTATCAACAAAGAAAGCAAGTACTTCTAGGACATTTAAGCCATAGTTCCTACTTTCCATAGTATACAGATCATCATTTAAAAACGTGGAGAACTGATTCCATAATTCTTCAAAATAAACACCATCCTCTAGCCTCGTAGCTGTCTGCAGCAATGCCTTTGGACCCATAAGGATCTCAAAGCTGTAGAGAAAATCCTTGGGATCCAGTTCACCTTCTTATAGATGCTTTACAATGTCCATGCCCACAATCCAGCCATTCTGAAAACAGCCAAGTCACCTATGGCAGCCATTCAATGAACATGCCCATGTACTATTAAATCCCAAATATGATCCCAGGTAAAAAAGGTAGCCTATCTCTGGAGTTTTACATTTGCTCAGACCAGGATTCATGTGGCTCAACATCAGAGAGCCCTATGTTTGGTGCTGCAGAGAAGCTCAAATGTGCTGGCTCTCTACACAACTTTTTTATGTTCTTTATTTTTCTAAGATATTCAGAATCCCTGGCTCAAATTTTCCATTTTGCTTTTAGAAATGTTGGCCATTTGGAAGAACTGGATGGAGCCATCAAACAAAAGACTACAATTGTTATACATTATATGTATACTTCTGTTGACAGGCAGGATGCACATTCCTCCATTTGGTTGAACAGAATTTCTCAGAGAATACTTCAACCAATATTGCATTCTCTGTTTGTGAATCACTTTTTGTGAGTAAATCAGTGCAGAGAACCTTTCAATTCACCAAACCAGAACTTTGTCCCAAAGAATTATCCTTTCCCTTACAAGTGAAGCACATGAATCAGTAAAGGTGAATTCAATTATTCTCCAGAAACAATAAGTTATTATGACTGAAGCCTCCCTTAATTTTTTTTAACTGTTCAGCATATACTTATTGTTTCCTTTATTCTAGTCCATCCTCAGTTCAGTTCTAGAACTATTAAACTCTTTGTGATTATTGTAACTAAAACCCCCTGAATTTAGGCTCATGTGCCTGTTGAGCCTGTTCTATGAGTTGAGGACTTTAAGATCACCATTCTGAGATAGCTACTTAAGATCTCAAACGAAGTGTGATTGTTTGTAGTTTTAATATAATTTGAAACAAAACATTACTGCTGCAGGTACCCTATTAATACCTTAGTTTCCTATCTCTACCATCATTGCCGAAGAATATTATTCAGAATTAGCATTTTCTCGGCTGGTTTTAGACAACAATGCTCTGGATTATATTTGAATTTGAATCTAAAATCTTGGATTCTAGAGAAGAGGTTTTATGCAATGTATTGTTTTAATTCATCACAAACTATTATGAAATCCATCATGTATCTCATTCTCTGAAAGCTCTTGCTCTATTTCTTTTCTATCAATTTTGCCCACATATTTTATATTCTCAGTGGCAATCAAGCTGCCCTTGACTGCCAATACTTCAATACTAGGGAAGCTAGGGAATTGCAATGCTTCCCTAGCACCGTTCTCCACCCAGGACTGTATCTATTTCTTTTCTATCTTTACATTAAGATATTTAGGAACAGTTTGCTAACCCACATCCTAAGCAATGTGAATAATAACCAAAATGCTTGCTGTTGTATATATGAATATTGATTCCAAATGCTGTTTTGTTTCTTTGCATGCAAAATAAACTTATGAATATTAAGACTCGTTTGAGATATGAATTACCACTCCTTGAACTTATGGGTTATATAACAACTTATATAATAGCTCATAATATAACTGATGAGTTCTATTATGAGAATTAAGTGTTCTCCGTCAACTACATGTTTAAACTGGAGTTAACATTTTTCAAAAGTAGAAATTAAAAGTAGCAATTCCCCAAATTGGTGAAACATCACTAAATAAACATGTTATTTTTATACCATGCTCGCTGAAAAGATTGCCTATACGAACAGCGACCTACACAAATTTGTGGAGGCAAGGACTTCAAAAGCAGTAAGAAAGAAGCACCTTTCCATGGAATGTATGCCTGTGCTTTCCTGCCGTTCTGAATAAATTACTCCAGATACAAGTCTGAAAAGTCATAGCCAGTCACTTGGTACTGGTGGACTCATACTCTATTTGTGAGTTTCCCCAGAGGAACAGAGCTGCTGCTGCAGGCAGCTGGAAGCAACGTGTTAGATTATATAAGTCACATATGATCCAGCAGTAGTTTTTTTATGTATTTGAAGATTTGGATCTCAACAGCAACTTAATTAGAACCCTTGTGGTAGCAAGACATATTTAGGCAGGTTACAGGTCTAAATGGTTGTTACTAATTCTCCAGAGAGTCATACAAAGTATGTCTCTTTGAGATTTTTTTTAGGCTTTAGACTCTAGATAAGTTTAAAGTCTAAATGGATGTTGACACTAGGCCATAAAAATTAAAAGCACCAACAGTTCTCAAATTTTGCCCTAGTTTCCCCACAACACAATATTATAAAATAACGGTACCATGGCAACCAAAAATAGTTTGAAAACATACTCATAAATGAGCTTGATATGCAAATAGCAACTCCAAGCTCATAATATTAGGTTTTGATGTGGTTATCGGAGCTGAATACATTTCCTATTCCTAATATAAACCAAACACTGCAGTTACTTCAGCATATCAAAAGAGTTAAAAGTATAATAAGAAAATCAACTGAGAGAACTGTGAAATGAAAAGCACATACTCAGACATACTTATGCAAGAAGTGTTTGCAGGGCACAACCACAGCAAATTTCATTTTCACACATCTGATCGATCTTGCTGCTCATTTTTTTTTTAATCCTCTCTATCGGTTCTACATGCTGCAACTGCTTTCTTTTTCAGATCAAGAACGATTAATATATTCTAGCTAAGGAGAATAACTCATGGCTGATTCCTTTGGAATTTCAGTATTCAAGCTGGCACTGATTGAAGTTGGTGAGCTACCCAAATTATTTTCAGTAGCTTAGAGCATTTCTATTTCAGGACTTTTCTGCATAAAATGACAGCAAGATTCCAGACATTTTCCAGCCAAACCTCAAAAAGAGCCTGGTAATTCAGTTTGTGCTAAACAGTCCTGATTAAAAACTATCTCGTCTTGGGTGTAGGTGTGTGTATATAAAAAAAAATTGCAAAAAGGAGAGGACAAAAGGCACGTTTGCAAAATCAATTGTGCAGTTTTTATTTTACTGCACTTTTACCACATATGTCATTTATTACACAGTGGAAAACCGTTAAATGCACAGTAGTTGTGCCAAGTGGCATTATGCTTTTAACAGCTTTATTCGTTTAACAGCTCCAGCTCTCATTATATTTTGCCATGTGGTACATGAGATTTTTATTCTTCTAACAGTGTAAAAGGGGTCCATGGCATTTTCCTTTTATGTATTTCATATTGTGCCTGTAGTTTTTTTCTTTTTTGTGGGTATTAAGCCTTAGGCAAAACTAAAAACAAGTGCTGTATCAGGAAACATGAAGAGTTAGAAGGAAATGGAAGTAAGAAAGGTTTAGATCCTTTTTATAATCAAATTTATATCATATATTTGTAGGGTCACAATATTTCTCTGAAGACTAGTATGTGACTACTTTCATTTCTGTATTTTATTATTGTTCCATTTCATCTTTTTACTGAATGGAAAAACATTCAAAGCAAAGAATTAGTGGTTATAACTTGTTAAGGCCTCTATCAAACAAAGACACCATCATTTCAAGATTCCTTATTTTATTATTCTATTTCTTTTTCACTTGTCTTTTTTTAAAGATTCTTGTGTCTTAACTATTCAGTCTGTTTAAAGAGGTAGAAAGAAATTATTCTGGGGCAAAAGAACAAATAAGAAAGGATTTTCTGGAGCTTGTTGTTAGTAGTATAGGTGTACTTTTATTTGTAGGAGAAGGGATGGGTCCAATTTCCACCTCAAAGTTATTCCCGCTCTTGAAAGAGAATCGCCTACTCACCTGACTTTTGTTGGCAGCTACTTTGGCGAACAGAGCCTGAGACACCTTGGCCCTTTTCATCTCCTGTTGGATCTCGTCATAAATGGCAGCTGTGATGTTGATGTTGGCTCCGTCCACCTTAATGGGGAGGTCTGTTGTCGGTGTTGAGGTTTTGGCCTACCGAGAGACCATGAAAATAATAATTAAAATAGTGCTGCTTTCAGCCCAGCCATCTGTGCAGAAATTGTCAAAGGATTTCAGTCAGCTGATGCCAAACTGCATTAGCTACAGAGGGACACTTCCTGTCCATTATTCTAATCAGGTTAATTGTGATTGGAAATAATTGCAGGGCATTCCTATAGGACATACAAAGCGTGTGTATGCACTCTCTCTCGCTCTCTTTTTCTTACAAACACACACACACACACAGTATTCTTCAGTTGCTCTGACTTTCAACAAATACAAAAAGCATATACTTGGAAATTAAAAGGTTATGTAGGAGATGAAGTAATGTTTAAACAATTATTTTATTCAGCTAACCCTCAAATACAATATATTATGTATATGAGTATTTGAATTTTTGCTCCCTCCCCCTCCTCCCAAAAAAGCATACCTCGGAGGAAGAGCCAATTCTTCCAGAAAAAATGAGTAAATGCATAGAGGTCTCTAAATAATAAATTATTACTCAATTTAATGTACTCCCTCAAGTCTCTTTCATCCTTTATTAAAATTATACGTATGTCATTTGAGTATGTATGGTTTCCCATCATTATGCTGGCCAGACAGTCACCTAATTTCACCTAGGAAATCAGTGGGTATGAAAAAAAGATTAATAACTCTATGCCTGCCAGTATGCTTGATATGCTACCATTGACTTCCTAAACCCACATTGCAGCTGGGTACATTCCATTACATTCCTTTTAAATAAATGATTTCCTATCAATTTCTGTGACAATTGAAGGACACTAATGAAAGAATATTGCCATCACAGATAAATCTACCAAAAGAACTGAGATGGGATTTTACTGCACAAAAATCTAGAAATCTCCTGCAGACTACAATGGCTATTAATTAATTACAATGGCTATTAGAAGAACTAATAAACTATGCTAAACAATCATTTCAATCAAACAAGTTTAAAAAAACAAATGCAGATACACAGTAATGACCAAGGGCTCTAATTACACAAGGTTTTTAGGAAACTGAAATACATATTAAAGCAAAAAGTGTAGTTAGAAAAGGATGAAAAAAACCCTGAAGTAATAGCATATCCTCCATTCTGATTCATTAGAACAGCCTGGTACAGGGTAAGCATTTTATATACACTGAAAGTTTAACAGGGCAATATACTTTATCATCTTTAACAAAAAAGATGTCTCTCTAAGGTATTCTAAAAAGGAAGTATGCGGTTTTGTCTTGTATCTGAGAAATCCAGGTTTGTCTTGTATTTGAC